CAAACTACACCTGTTATCTCTACAGAAAAACTCCCTTTTCAAATTTCTGTTAAAAATATAAAATATCCAAGTATGTCTTGTTTTAGTGTTTGGAAATGCTTCAGTCACTAAATCCTGAAAGGATTAGTGCTATAATATGTTACATAATGCCACTACTAATAGTAAGTGGTATACTGCAGAGAGAGCCATAAATGAAGAGCAGGGCTTTATATTTACAAAGTAATAAAGGAGGAATCTACAGTCTGGGGACAGACTAAGAGCAGTGTCTGATCAGGGCAGGCACTCACAAGTATGAGGTTAAGAAGGAAAGCCCAACTTTGAGCTAGGCAATAAGCATGCCATGGTTTTAATCTTTGCATCAGACACGGCAAGTATACCATCTGTGAAAAATGGTTCATTAAGACCTACACTTATACTGTAGTAACTCAAACCTCATGGAAACTCTTATGATATTTTGTACGCAACAGCTTTTTACAGATTTTCAGTATTCTTAATTTATAAAAGTGCTCAGCAAGGCCCTGAAGGCATGTGGAGAAAAGTATTAGAATAATAAGATTAATAGCTACTATTCATTGAAACTTGGCAGGTACTGTTTTTAAAGTTCTTTTACATGTAGTGACTCATGTAATCATCACAAAACCATTGTGATTAGGTGCTACTGTTACCCATAGTTTTACTGAAGAAGAAACTGAACAGTCAAATAACAGTCAAGAAACATCTCAGTCAAATAACCTGCACAAGGCCACACAGTAAGTGGCAGGGGTGACATTTGAGTCTAGGCTGTTAGTCTGAGCTCTTGGTGAGACTAGGAGGAATTTTGCTTACAACCCCTCCACCCCCATTTTACTGGCCTTCACTTTAGTAGTTGCCTAAAGACAACCACTGGCCTACTGGAAAAGGTACTGGTAAGAGAGCTGAATTCTGATCTTTGTTTATATACCCTGTGTCCTTAGGTAAGTCTAGAGATCCTGGTTCCTCATTATCACTAAGTGTGGGGTGTGGAAGCTGATACGATACTCTAAGATTTATACCAAGGTTTGAGTTGGTTTTTTTTTTTTTTTTTTGGTTGCCCAGGCTGGAGTATAACAGCTCAATCATAGCTCACTGCAGCCTCTAACTTCCGAGCTTCAATCTACCTCCTACCATAGCCTCCTAAGTAGCTACGACTAAAGATATATGACACCATACCTAGCTAATTTTTAAACATTTTTTTTTTTGTAGAGGCAAGGTCTTGCTATGTTGTCTGGTCTTGAACCCGTGGCCTCAAGCAATCCTCCTGTCTCAGCCTCCTAAAATGCTGGGATTACAGGTATAAGCCATTGCACCATTGCACCCATCCTCTGTTTCTAATGATTCTTCTCTAGATCCAATTACCCATTCACAACAAATACAGGAATCAGTGGAACATGTTAAATAATGCCACAAGGATGCAATCAGCAAACTCTGGGCTGGGCTAAATTTTACAACATAAATGATCCGGGCTCAGCGCACATAGCTCAGTGATTAAGGCACCAGCCACATACACTGAGGCAGGCAGGTTCGAACTCAGCCTGGGCCTGCTAAACAACAATGACAACTGTAACAACAAAAAATAGTCGGGTGTTGTGGCAGGCACCTGTAGTCCCAGCTACTTGGGAGCCTGAGGCAAGAGAATCACTTAAGCCCAAGAGTTTGAGGTTGCTGTGAGCTGTGACACCACAACACTCTACTGAGGGCAATATAGTGAGACTCTGTCTCAAACAAAACAAAACAAAACAAAACAAAAATGATTCGGTTTTGTCATCAAATAAAGGTCTGGTGATAAACCAATAATTGCAAGGTTAACATACAGATTAAAAGAGATTTAAGAAGATTATTAACCATTTGCCACATATGAACTTTATTTAAATCCTGATCCAAACAGTATGTATACTGTAAAAAAATAAAATGAGTCAACTGGAAAAATTTGAACA